CCCAAGGGAGGAGCAGTCCTGTTAGGCCACAGAGTAGAGCTTTACAGCCAGTCCTGAAGATACCTGATAAAACAGGGTCAGATGGAAGGTGAGGAGGTCCTCCCCAATCAGTGGATTTGGAAAGGGGCAGGGAGGAGATGAGGAAGGGAGGGTGGGGTTGGGAGGGAATGAGGGAGCAGATACAGCTGGAATACAGACTTAATAAAATGTAACTAATTAGAAAAAAATAAAATTAAATTAAAAAAGTGGCCGACTCTTTTTTTTCATTTTAACTATGTCATGCTGTATATTTTCCATATTTATGAACAACATTTGAACTACAGATTTCTCCAAATCCTTACATATTAAAACTGTTCAATCTTAGAATTTATACAGTAACATGTCATTATAGCATGTTTTTTTTCATTGTACATTTTGTATTTTTTATTATTTAATTATTTTTATTAATTATAGTTTATTGACTTTGTATCCCTCCTGTACCTCCCTCCCTCCCTCCTCCTCTACCAATACTATCCTCCCTCTCCCCCACCCATGTCCCTCCCCAAGTCCATTGACAAGGGAGGTACTCCTCTACTTACCCCTGATCCTAGTCTATCAGGTCTGGAGTGGCTGCATTATCTTCTTCTGTGGCCTGGTAAGGGTACTTCCCCCTCAGGGGGAAGTGATCAAAGAACAGGCCAATCAGTTCCTGTCAGAGACAGTCCCTGTCCCTATTATTATGGAACCCACTTGGAGACTGAACTGCCATGGGCTACCATTGTGCAGGGGTTCCAGGCCATCTGGTCCTTGGCTGGAGTATCAGTTTCAGAAAAGAACCCAAAAGCCCAGACTTTTTGGATCTGTTGCTCATATTATATAGGATAAACATACTAAAATCTGTACACCTAAGGAAGCTAATCAGGAAGGAGGACTCTGGCTAAGATGCTCAATCCCCATTCAGAAAGGAAAAGAGGATGGACATTGGAGGAGGGAGAAAACAGGGAACCAGACAGGAGCCTACCACAGAGGACCTCTGAAAGGCTCTATCCTGCAGGGTGTCCAGGTAGATGTTGAGACTAATAGCCAAACTTTGGGCAGAGTGCAGGGAATCTTATGAAAGAAGTGGGAGATGGTAAGACTTGGAGAGGACAGGAGCTCCACGAGGACAGCAACAAATCCAAAAAGTGGTCGACCCTTTGGTCACCTCCCTCTGGCAAGGTGTCCTAAGTAGGCCACAGAGAAAGAGGATTCACACAGTCTTGATGAGACCTGATAGACTAGGGTCAGATTGTAGGCTAGGAGCACCTCCCTTATCAGTGGACTAGTGGAGGGACATAGTGGGAGAAGAGAGAGAGAGTTGGGACCAGAAAGAGATGAGGGAATGGGCTACAGCTAGGATATAAAATGAATAAACTGTAATAAATAATAATAATAAAGAAAATAATTTTAAAAATTGCCTGTGCATATTACTTTTACTAGATGTCTTTTTGCAATTAATGAAAATGCTCTTTTATTGTGTCTATTCTTTCCGATGTTATTGATTGTAGGGGCAATATTACATACCCCGTTACGCCTCTACCTAGCAGTGTTCCCATGCAGAATGGGAGCATAGAATGGCCAAAACAGTTGCAAAGAAAAGACAGGCTGAGAGCTAAGACTACCAGTGTTTAAGTTGTAGCTGAGTAAAAATGATACAGCCTTCTCATTTAAACTTTATCATGTGTTTACTCCCAAGGAACAGACTTCAAATCTAGTCAGAAAATGGTTGCTTAGGTCCATACCTGCCATGCTGCTAGTGCACCAGTGGCCACGTCTTGACGGTTACTATTTTGAAAAGAAAATTATTATGTTTATGTACATATATGTGAGTGTGTGTTTGTGCACTTCTATGCCAGCACACTCACTGAAGCAAAAAAAAAAAAAAAAAAAAAGAAAGAAACAATAGGAGCTGAAGTTACAGGAAGTTATGGACCATTTGATCATCAGAATTGAATCCTGTTTCTCCGTAATAGCAGCAAATGTTCTTTGTCACAGAACCATGTCTCTGGCTCCTAGATAGCCAATTTTAAAAGTCAGAGTAAAAAAATAAATAAAATAAAATAAACAAACATTAAAACACAGGTAAATGTTTGAAATGATTTTCTTTTTTTTTCTTTTTTTTTTTTTTACTGGTTTACACATTTTTTTTATTTTTTAATTTTTTATTAATTACACTTTATTCATTTTGTATCCCCCCCATAAGCCCCTCCCTCCTCCCCTCCCGATCCCACCCTCCCTCGCCTTTCTGCATGCATGCCACTCCCCAAGTCCACTGATAGGGGAGGTTCTCCTCTTCTTTCTGATCTTAGTCTATCAGTTCTCATCAAAAGTGGCTGCATTGTCCTCTACTGTGGCCTGGTAAGGCTGCTCCTCCCTCAGGGGGAAGTGATCAACGAGCAGGCCAATCAGATTATGTCAGAGGCAGTCCCTCTTCCCATTACTATGGAACCCACTTGGACACTGAACTGCCATGGGCTACACCTGTGCAGGGGTTCCAGGTCATCTCCACGAATAGTCCTTGGTTGGAGTATGATTTTCTGGGAAGTTCCCTGTGTTCAAATTATCTTGTTCTGTTGCTCACCTTGTGGAGTTCCCGTCCCCTCCAGCTCTTACTATTTCCCACTTCTTACATAAAATTCCATTCACTCTGCCCATCAGTTGGCCATCAGGCTCAGCATCTGCTTTGAAATGATTTTCTAATTAAAAAATCTGTAGGAAAACACCTATGAGAAGATAGACTACCAAAGCTCTCGTTCACCATGTAAGATAAATGTGACCCTCTGCCTTCATCAGAGAAGCTCTTACTGTATTTGTAGTAAGTCTATCAGGTCTTACTACAGGTAGGAATGCAGGTCTGTTAACACAGAGACATATAAATGGCTAAAGTACTGGAAATCAGTGGCAATAGAGAGCTCAGTCCTACATGTACCATCCACCCATCCCTCTTCAGTACTCAGGGAACATTGCAGAAGAGGGTGCACAAAGAATTAAGTCAGAGGCCTGGAAGATGTGCAGCAAACAGGCATCTTCTGAACATGACACAGCTGTCGCTCTCATGAACTTACTGCAACTGTGGTTATCCGCACAAGAACTGCAGAGAGTTGGGGCTACCACCATCAAGGATAGGGGAAGGGGCCTGCACAGGGACTATTGGAGGTTAGCAGTTTCTGGAGGAGGAGATGTAATCTTCTCTAGTGTGTGGATTATAAAGTGTTAGTTGTTAATTCGTGTTATCAAAAATGCATCTGTGTTGTATTAAGGGAAAGAAATAAAAGCACTTCTACTTGGAATAATTTAATCAAGAATGAGTCCAGATTTGTATTCTCTACTTCATGTTTCCTGTGTCTTCTGTCCTATGTTTGTCTGCTGTATGAGTCTGAATCAGTGCCTGCCTAAAAGCTTTCTTGTAGACTGTTTGCACCAGTGTCGGTGTGTTTACACTTATGTGCGTCTGTCTGTTGTATGAGTGAGTGTATGAGGACTGTCTGTGAGTGATATGATTCTCATTCTCATGACTTCACTGTGTATTTATGACCACAATAGAAAATATCACATGATGAAGGAATGTACAGAACATTTTTTAAATTAAATTTTTATTTTTTATATTAATTACAGTTTATTCACATTGTATCCCAGCTGTAGCTCCCTCCCTCATTCCCTAAAATCCCACCCTCCCTTCCTTCTCTCCTTCCATGCCCCTCTCCAAGTTCACTGATAGGGAAGTACCTCCTCCCCGTTCATCTGACCCTAGGTTATCAGGTCTCATCAGGACTGGCTGCATTGTCCTATTCTGTGGCCTAGCAAGGCTTCTCTCCCCTCACAGGGGTAGTCAAAGAGCCCTCATGTCAGAGACAGTCCCTGTTCCCATTACTAGGGAACCCACTTGGACATTGAGCTGCCATGGGCTACATCTGTGCAAGGGTTATAGATTATCTCCATGAATGGTCCCTGGTTGGAGTATCAGTCTCAGAAAAGAACTCTGTGCCTAGATTTCTTGGTTCTGTTGCTGTCCTTGTGGAGCTCCTGTCTCCCCAGGTCTTTCTATATCCCCTTCTTTCATAAGATTCCCTGCACTCTGCCCAAAGATTGGCTATGTTTATCCTATATTATATGTACAAAACTTTTTAAAAAGTTTTATAAGGTTTAATTCACTGGCTCAAACTGATCCTGATTTACACGTAGGGAAAATAAAAACATTATTTGATTATCAACCAATAAATATAAATGGTTGCATTTACCATTCATGGTTTGTTATAGGAAGTTACTTTCAACTTCTGTATATGCAGCTATTGGCAAGTAATACTCTTATCTGGATCAGAAGTGTGCAAAAATACAATTTGAGATTGCAGTTTACATTGTATAACTTGTTTACATGGGAAGTCCAAAACAAGTAGCGTTGGTTTATTGCAATCCTTTAAGGCAGGTTAATCTGTTTGCGTACACAGTAGACCAGAGGTCTTAAATAAAGTGACTTCAAGGTATATTGTTAATTTTGTCTGTGAGGGCCAGCAAAAGCTCAAATTTCTTAGAATACTAGATATTTTCAGAATTTATTGAACACTTTAATTTCTTTCAAATTGATAGTATAACATAAGAAAAATGTGGAAACTATCCTGAATCACATAGAAATAAAAAGTCCTTTGTTTGCCAAAATATAAGTGCCATGAGATACAAATTTCTGTTTTCTCAAGAAAGAGAGAAAGATATCAACTTAAAAAAAAAGCAGATTTTCAAATTTATACTCTGAATGGAAGTTTTTTGTTTTGTTTTGTTTTGTTTTTTTTTAGCTTTTTGATGGAAAATAAAAGTTAGCAGGAAATGCATAATAAACTCCAATTAAACATGCCATCATTACTGGTTAACTCGAAATAAACTATCCAATATCTTTAAACTGCTGGATAAAGGATAACTGTCTTAGCATAGCAGTGTTCAGTTGTGATTATAGGAGAGCAATTAGGAGATGAAGTTTGAGATTCTGTAGATTAGGACATTTTACTCAGATCAAGAAGCTTAGTGATCAGTCTCTTCATGGCCACCTTCATGTCTTTGTTCCTCAGTGTGTAAATGGCAGGGTTCAGGATAGGTGTAATCATGAAGTCCAGGATGGCAAGAAACTTATCCACTGGCACAGTAGGAAATGGCCACATGTACACAAAGATGCATGGTCCAAAGAACAAAACCACCACAGCGATGTGAGCAGAGAGTGTAGAGAGGGCCTTGGACAAATCACCTGATGAATGTTTTCTTACAGTCAACAGGATAACAACATAGGAGATAATCAGTAAGAAGAAGGTGCCTGTGGAAATAAACCCACTATTGGCAGTAATCATGAACTGCATTTTGCTGGCATCCATGCAAGCCAGCTTGATGAACTGAGGAAGATCACAATAAAAACTATCTATCTGATTAGGACCACAAAAACTCAAATGGACAATGAAAGCTAATTGGGCCACTGAATGCAAAAAGCCAATAACCCAAGCACCAAACAGAAGCAAAAGGCACAACCGTGGGCTCATGATGGTCAGGTAGTGGAGGGGCCTGCATATGGCCACATATCTGTCCCAGGCCATGGCCACCAGCAACACCATCTCAGATGCCCCCAGGACATGAAGGACAAATATCTGGATGACACAGCCCCGGAATGAGATGGTATTGTGCCCAGAGTACAGGTCAGAAATCATTTTGGGTACAGTTAAGGTGGAAAGACATAAATCAATAAATGCGAGATTTCCTAAAAGAAAGTACATTGGAGAATGTAAATGTGGGTCAAAGGCCAGAGTAAGCACAACAACAGTGTTTCCCAGCACAATGGCTATATACAAAACCATAGAGAAGGCAAGGAAGAAATCCTGTATTTTTCTAGAGGTTGAAAGGCCCAGAAACACAAATTCATGCACCTCAGTGTAATTTGTTTTTAGCATTTACTTTTTCTTGCTGTTACCTAAGGGATTAAAAACAAAGAAATTTCAAAAAATATTTATAATAAATACATAGTTTACAAACCAATTCAGAATATTCTCTAACTGAATTAAAACGAAATAGTTTTTATTACTCTCTAGAAAGCATTTTTATTTTAGTGTGTTTATCCTATCTTATAGGTCTAGTATCCACTTATAAGTGAGTATATACCATGTGTGTCTTTCTGCTTCTGGGATATCTCACTCAGGATGATCTTTTCTAGATCTCACTATTTGCCTGCAAATTTCATGATTTCCCCATTTTTAATTCCTGAGTAGTATTCCATTGTGTTAATACACCACAATTTCTGTATCCATTCCTCATTTGAGGGGCATCTGGGTTGTTTCCAGGTTCTGGATATTATGAATAAAGCTGCTATGAACATGGTTGAGCAAATGTCCTTGTTGTATACTTGAACATGTTTTGGATATATGCCTAGGAGAGGTATAGCTGGATTTTGAGGAAGCACTATGCCTAATTATCAAAGAAAGGGCCAGATTGAATTCCAAGGTAGTGGTAAAAGTTTACATTCCCACCGGCAATGGAGGAGGATTCCTTCTCCACATCTTCTCCAGCATGCATTGTCACTTGAGTTTTTTATCTTAGCCATTCTGATGGGTGTAAGGTGAAATCTCAGGGTCATATGATCAATTCTCACTCAGAAAGGCAAACAGGATGGACATTGGAAGAGGGAGAAAACAGGAAGCAGGACAGAGCCTACCACAGAGGGCCTCTGAAAGACTCTACCCAGCAGGGTATCAAAGCAGATGCTGAGGCTCATAGCTAAACTTTAGGTAGAGTGCAGGGAATCTTATGAAAGAAGGGGGAGATAGAAAGTCTTAGAGGGGACAGGAGCTCCACAAAGAGAGCAACAGAACCAAGAAATCTCTTCCCAGGGGTCTTTTTTTAAGACTGATACTCCAACCAAGGACCATGCATGGAAATAACTTAGAACCCCGGCACAGATGTAACCCATGGCAGCTCAGTGTCCACGTGGGTTCCCCAGTAATGGGAACAGGCACTGTCTCTGACATGAACTCAATGGCTGGCTCTTTGATTACCTGCTCTTGATGGGGGTAGCAGCCTTACCAGGCCACAGAGAAAGACAATGCTTCCAGTCCTTATTAGACCTGATAGGCTTGGGTCAGATCGAATGGGTGGAGGACCTCCCCTATCAGTAGTCTTGTAGAGGGTCATGGGAGGTGATGAGGGATGGAGGGTGTGATTGGGAGGGCTGAGGGAGGGAGCTACAGCTGGGATACAAATGAATAAGCTGTAATTAATATAAAACTATAAATTAAAATTAAAAAAGAAAGCATTTTGAAATTTTCTTAACTCATTTATCTCTGCAACAAGAGTCATTAGTTACATACTATATGCCTAAAACTAGGTCAAACTCATAAGTGAATAATGGATTGTTAGTTCATTAGGAGCTAAATAAGTTGCAATATCTAATCTGATAACACATTTAAGCAAAAGAAGAGTGAAGTATCTCAGATATGTGACTCATCACAGTGGTATTCACTCATTGATAATAGCCTTGCTACTACTGAAGAGAATGTCAAAAATTCCAGTCATTGTAATTGGTTCACAGAAAGAATTCTAGCTATGTAGACTAATAGGGTGAGAGGAAAAGTGATGGAGATCAGACTGGAGGACAGGCCAGATTTACAGTGATGGGATCTGTGATTAGAATTAATTTTATACTTATACTAATAATAAGCTTGTGGAGTATAATAAGCAGTAACTTGATTATAATGACTTACTTGCAAATGGTCAAATACAAAATAGAATAGAAGGACTTTAAGTCACCTGTTGTGTCACAAGTGGAAAAGTAGGTGGTGTTAGAGGAGCTGATGAATTATTTTTACTGTGCTGTAATTAATGAAACTTGCAAATCATAGTATTTGCTTCTCATTATAAACTCTAGTTGACTTCAGATGATCATTTAAACACCACTAAACAGAACCAGGGCTGTAGAAGTGATTCCCTGAGTGAGGTTCTTGCTGTGCAGGCATGAGGACATGAGTTCAGGTCCCCAGCCCCTGATTCAAAGACAAGTGCAGAGGCACATGTGCATACCAATGCAGGAAGTGCAGGGACATGGCGATCCTGGGGGTGCCCGCTTCCAGGTTAGCCGGAAGAGTATGCTCAAGGTTCAGGGAGTCAGCACATCTTAAAATAATAGGTGGAGAGCTACAGTGTAAAACAAACAATGCTGAAGATTGCAGTTGATTGTCCTACATATGAAATCCCAGCAAGGTCTCCTCTACCCTCTGTAGCAATGTCGTTCTTCATGTCATCACTCTACCTTAGGCCTGGTTCCCCGAATAAAGAAATTCTAAGAATGACTTCAGACAGTCAGGTTTTGCTCACCATTGGTTATGGATATCTAGTAAGTAGCATATCTAAAGGGAAAAACTGCAGAGACGATGAGGAGGCACTAGGTGTAAAATTTATTCATAACAGATAAAATAAAACAGGACAGTCACTGAGGGGACTAGCAAGAGGTCTTTTGTAAAGGACCTATACTCAAAACTCTAAAGGAATGAAATGCTATCCACAAGTTTAAAATATTTTTATTCTGAATATAAAATGTAAATATATTCAATGTATTTTCAACTTTGTGAATGAATCAAATATTTTATTAAACCACAAAGGTTTCAATTTTTAAAAAGCAGCATTAAGAGAGTGTTCTAAGTTGTACAAAAAATATTTTATTTTCTATCTCCCTAGTTTTTATTTTCCTTGTGTTTAGAATTTCTTACTGATAATACTGTTTTTTTATAATTTTTATTTTTTATATTAATCACAGGTTATTTACTTTGTATCCCAGCCATAGCTCCCTCACTAATTCCCTCCCAATCCCACCCTTCCTCCCTCATCTCCTCTTTGCCCCTCTCTAAGTGCACTGGTAGGAGAGGCCCTCCTCCCATTTCATCTGACCCTAGTTTATCAGGTCTCATTAGTACTGGCTGCAATGTCCTCCGCTGTGGCTAGCAAGGCTATTCCTCCTGGGGGAGGGGGGTCAAAGAGCCTACCATAGAGGGCCTCTGAAAGACTCTAACTAGCAGTGTATCAAAGTAGATGATGAGACTCATAACCAAACCTTGGACAGAGTGCAGGAAATCATATGAAGGGGGGGGGGAGTTGTAATACCTGGAGAGGACAGAGTGCCACAAGGACCAAATATATATGGGCACAGGGGTCTTTTCTGAAACTGACTCTCCAACCAAAGACCATGCATGGATAAAACCTAGAATCTCTGCTCAGATGTAGCCCATGGCAGCTCAATATCCAAGGGGGTTTCCCTATTAAGGGGAACAGGGACTGTCTCTGATAATACTGTTTTTATGGGAAAGAAATATAATCATTCATTCAGAATGTAGATACTCATAAGGTGGGCAATATGTTAAAATATAAAGAATATGCTTGGAACAATAGCACAGCTTTTACCGAGAACTCACAACAGAATCAACACATACAGTTAACCAGTCAAAGAGCTCTTTATGTTGATCCCCATTAGTCACTCTTTTCCTGCTTTGCCAATCAAGACGAGAAGAAAAGGAGGGCTTTGGAAAGGCAGAAGGGATAGATGAGCACAAGATCCCTAATATTTTTAAGGTTTCAAGATAAAATCTTATTTTGTAAATTGCATATGAACAAATGTTAATAATTAGCAAATTTTAAAATGTAGGCATTATTATAAAATTAATATAAACATGTGACACACATATATATTCACACATGAATATAGTTGAAAAGTGTCAATAGTGAATGGATTAATTTCAGTACATACTAATAATGAAAATATGAATATTTAAAACTCACCTGAATAATTCTACATATGCAAGTCTAGAGGGGTTCTACTTAACTGAAAAACAAGAGAAAATATACAAATAGTAATATGATTATTTGTGAACATGTTTGAATTTAAACATTCTTCATGAAGAAACACCAAAAAATACCAGCAATGGAGAGGGTTCAAAGGTAGAATTCCATGTGGCTTTCATTTCTTAAATTCTGTATTCCTGTATTGTTTAAATGGTTTAAAACAATGTGGTATCAATGTTAATTAAAAGTGGCCTTATAGATAATAATATTAGGTTCAAGAAGAACAGAGCTATACATTCAATGGAGTGATGTCAGATTTACCCAAAATATCATTTAAAATTAAAATAAATGTTTAAATGTGAGAAAAATTATTTTCTCCAAAATGTATGTATGTCACTCACTAACAGATTCATCATCAATGTAAAAACTCACAACTATGTAGTACATCACTACTTCCTTTAACATAAAACATAACACATATTTGATTAACAATAGAAAAGCAAAGATGATGAAAGCAAAAGAAAAGAGACAAGGGAAATGAGAGGAAATAGTAAGGAAGGTAGAATAAAACAAGACAAAACTATAAAGGTGACAATGGGAAAAAATTACAATAAAATTTAAAGCAAAATTTTAATATTGCTTCCTTCATGCTGATCTAACACGAAGAATGAAGCAGAACAGGCATCAGCTGCACAACAACCAAAACAAGACAATCAAAGGTAGCACACTAATGGAATATTTTCCGAGTCTTCTTGTACCTACTCACTTTGAAACCGAGTGGCTACCATATTCAGAATATCCCTGTGTGGCTGTCAAGCCATTAGACTCTAACTATTGGCTTTTTTCCTGAATTCATCTGGTATTTACTTTATAAGATCATTAGTTTCTAAGAAAATATAACCCAGATGACAAAGTTGTTTTGAAAAATCAAGATGAAACCTAGAGTTATACAGAACAATTCGCCTTCCTAATTGATTTTGGGAAGCCCAGCATGAATAAATGCTCATTAAGTATATGAAAAGAAAATTATGAAAAAGAAAAACAGGTAGGCACCTTTGCGTGTAACAGAGATGCTGTGCGTTAGCTGTACAAGGAAAATAACTGCTGAGTGTGCTATTAATGTTCACTT